AGGAATAAGCTAATGACACTCATGCCAAACAAAAACAGAAATAAAAGAGGTTTAGCTAACGCAATAGGCACAATGTCGAAATGGCTCTTTGGTACAATGGACGAAGACGATAGACAAAACATACAAACACACCTTTTACAAACTAACGAAATAGTAAATCATCAAATTGAAGTAAATGACTATTTTACTTGAGCTCTGGAGTATCTTAGGAAAATTATTAAAAGTGATAGGATAAAAATTGAAAAAGAACTTAATTCTATAAATAAGTTAATGTATGATGATGATAAACAAAATCTATACTTAGACCAATACACAAAAATCCAATTATTAAAAAGTAAAATAGATCATATACAAGCCAATATTGTATCAGCCAAATATGGGATATTACATCCTAATATATTAACAATTGAAAAAATTTTAAAATATAATATTAATTTTAATAAACTTCAATATATGCAATTGGGAATAGCAAATTTAAATAATACTTATTTAATATTCGGTATTAAAATACCTAAAAATTTTGAACATATAAAAATAAGAACAATTATTGCAATCCCAAACAAAGAACAAAATGAAATAGAAGCAAAAATTGAAGAAATATTTACTTATGAAAATAAAACGTTTACATTTGAAGAAAATAAATCATTGAAAGGATTAAAACCAAGTAACCACTGTATTTTAAGAAAAAATTGTAAACTCATAAAAAATAACGAACTTGAGATATTAGCACTAGATATAGAAACTATTATAGTTAAAAATGCCATAAATTTACAAATTAATTAAACATGTAACCAGGAACAACCAATTATAAATGGAAACTATTTAATACATTACAATAATTGTTCCATTAAAATTAGTGCCTATTATTTTTCAAATTATATCGAAAACATAAAAGAAAATATTGTAAATAAAAATATAAAGATATGGGAAATTTCACAAAGAAAATTACATTCGAAGAAATAGTAGAGGAAAATAAAGCAAATGAAGAAAGTATTTTTAAATTAAAAATCCATAGTAAAATATGACATATTTGCGATTTCTTATGTATAATAATAATTGTAACAATAGCGATTGTGGCTATATGCAAACACAAACATGTAATTGTCAAATTAAAAGAACGAATTCAGGAGAATTCAGATCTAAAGGGGGGAGTAGTTACATATTTTAACATTACCAACCCAAATACACTTTCTTACAATGTTAATTATAAAGACACTCCAAAGTCAACATATAAAAATGCTGACAATATAGACGAATTCATTGCTACAATAAATAAAACAATGAAATAAGTATTTCACTAAATTGTAATTTGATACTATTTCCTGTCACTTGTAAATGTTATTAACGAAATGTAAACAAAATAAAATTAATTCCCACACCAATTATTGGTATTGATACAATTGTAAAAGCAAATAATATAAAGTACTTAGTAAGCATTTCCTATGGTAAATTGTAAACTTTCATTTTAAGAAATACTTTTCAATAAAATCAGTCTGTTTCTGCACTCCTTCAGTGTCACTTCGCTGTAATCAAAATAAGCCTTTGTCTTTTCAATTTCTTTTTTTAAAAAACCGCTTTCGGCGGTGAATAACAAAATTCGCGCACTGCTGACGCTTGCCTAAATCCTCCACCAATTACCGTTCGCCTCGCCTGATCACACTTTTCGTAACGCGTTCGTCAGGTTACTCCCCAAGCCAAGTACGCGTAAAGAAGTTTCACTTCAACAAGTTTTTTCGGGCACCCCAGAGCAAGCACAATTTCTTCCTGAGGCTGCCGACCTCTTGAAGACAATTAGGGTAAAAGATGAAGCAGGGTCTGACATAAACAATAATTTTAATTATATAAATGGTTGGAAAACAAAGATATATAGTTTGGAACGTTTGTGGCGCTTTTTGTCACACGCAGGCTTCACTCACCTACAGACGGGACGGCTTTGTCAAGATAGTTTAGAGCATTATTTTGGACAGATCAGGAGAGAGGGTGGCAGAAGTGTAACAATAACACCTTACATGTTCTATAATTTGTTTAGAAGTCATGGGGATGGCATAGTTATAAATGGAAACTGCGAACCGGTAGCTCAGAACGAACATTTTTCTCCAGATTTATCAGACCAAATTCTCCAAAGTGTGTGCAATGATAATTTAGTCCAAGATTTATCTTGTCAAGAATTTCAGAGCTTACGTCGGACCAGAACACGAATTTAGTAGGCTTAGGTTAGACCATCAGGCTAAATTAGAGGATGTAGAAGTAGATTTTCTGAAAGCAAATGCATATGCATGCTTTTGCGGTTATCTTCATTTAAAAGTTGTTAAGACACACTGAAGTTTTATTTCATTCAGCAGAAGCAAATTGGCAGGTGCAATTTAATTAAACCACCCCAGAGATTTTTAGACCATATTAAGAAGTTAGAAGATATTTTTAATAGAGAATTTGAATCCACCTGTCACTGAATAATAGTTGGCCAAATTTTATTCGATAGAGTGGAGCATGTCAGACCCTTTCTCTGCTGCAACAACTGTGACTCAAATGTTGTTTTAACTCTTTTTGTCAGGACGAGAATATTGTTCTTCATAAAGTTTTTCAATAGAGATCTTAGTAGGCCCAATTTTAGAATTAAAATTCTTTGTGTTTCTCATCTGTAGGATAGGCTGGTAAAACTGTATCATTTTATTTAAATTTTCTCCAGTTTTTTTTTTAAACCTTGTTTCTTTTTTTGCCTCTTAATATTAATATATTCTTAATTCTGTATTAAATTTTGTATTGGAGACTGGGTGCAGATTGCTTTCTACAAATTTTTGTACTTCTTTTTTTAAATTGAGTATTTTTAGTTTTATATTTATACACAGAGAATTACTGTGCAATACTTTTGTTATAATTAACCATTACTTATATTAAGATAAATAATAGATAACAAATATGTGATGAAAATAAGACTTTTGCTTATTTTTTTATTATGTTTCTTTTTGAAATATTTACCTTTTTGTTTATTGTTAAGAATTATTGTTTTCATGTGAATTATGATATGGCTTTATTTATTTCTTCGTATTTATTTTAAATTGTTACTTAATTATTTCTTTGATTTTTATTTTTTTTTTAATTGTTACTTTAAGGCAATTTTGCTTATGTAAGTATATATTTGTATTTATTTATATATATGGGTGATATAGGCCTATTGGGGAACCAAGCACCCAAATATAATATCGGTAACGCGCTATTTGCATACCTCAGTGGTAGTGTGGAAGCTGCAAAATATCCAAAAGTTCTTTATAAAATGTCCAATCTAATATTTTTCAGCAGTGGCATTTGACAGCTCTCTATCGAATCAAAGAGATTCCTATCAAGTTATCTATGTTAGTGTGTTCTCAAGCAAATTAATGCCGTGTCTGATGGAAAGTACATACCGTCACCTAAAAATTCGTATTATCAAAAAATTCAAAATTATTAGATTAGTTATTTATTGATTACGATTCACCACATCATATTACATATGTGTCGCAAATGTTAAGTTTCTGCGATTATAAAACCCTATGTTATACTGCAAATTCAAAAAAACGTATCATCAAGTGCTTCATTTCGTTTAACAAAATAACATATCATCATGAAAAGATAACAGATTATTTTTGTTCTTTTATAACGAAGTTATCCTTGATTTATTGTTTATGTTTACTTTTATTGGTTATGTTCAATGTGCTTTAGTTATGTTAGGTTAAATGGCTGATCAAAGACCGCATGTGGTAGTCCTTTGTGAGGCCATAGAAAATAAGAACCCCTGTGTTTGACTACTAAAAATACAAATTTGCATAGCCGTTTAATTTCCTTTGCCGCCAGCTCGGTGGTATGTCTAAAGACATGCGTTTCCAATTTAAGATCCTTACTGCCCCTCTCCGTCAACGGCTTCTTCCCATCCACTACCCCCTTATTGATATATGGGTAGAGAAGCAGCCACCAGAGTTCGGTTTAGCGAATCCATGATACAAGTGATCCGGTATGAAGTCAAGGTGAGTGAGGATTTCCGAGTGTTTAGGCATGTGTCCTTTTAAGAATTTAGCAGCCTAATATTTTGCATCCGCAAGGTTTAACGATAATCAAGCAGAAATATAAAGATCTGCAGGAGCTAAAAGCTTTGATTCCAGCAAACTGTCATTAATTTTATGATAATATGAATATCTTTTGAAGAATTATTTTTTTAATAAATAATATAAACATTATCTTAATTTGTTGGCTTAAATGATTTGATTTTTTAGTATTTTTTGATTCAGATTTGAAATTTTTGTTTCAATATCTCAAGTGGTTTACTTTTTATACGGTTTTTTCTTCTCCTGTAAACCTACGAAAAGTGATGTTACGTTATTTTGCATTTCAGGTGAAGACACATATTTACATAGAGTTCTGATATTTAGTGTACAAGCCAACGGAATACTCGCAATCAAACCTTAGGAACGTACCAACCACTAGGGGGTACTATTCAAAAAATATTAACAATACTCCTGTTGGTGTTTATAAGTTCTATATGTGTGCGAACCATGACTGAGTGATGAAATATGTAAAGAAAATACAACTAAATTCCGGGCCGGGCCTAAAAGAAGTAGACGCGGTTATAGCCCTATTTCGCATACTTTCACAACATAATTTAAAGAAAACTATTATATGTACTGATTTATTAATGATGAGATCAGTTAAAAACCATGCCTCCATACAACGGTTCAACGAACAATGAACGTTGTACGTACATATGTAAACCACTATTGTAGAGCATTCCATACAGTATGTACTATGAACATTGTAATTTTAAATGATATTTTTCAATTAGTTTTGAAATCCAAAAGATACAACTAATTTGCCCGAAAAAAATCAAGATTCAAATGTTAATATATTTGAAACGGTTAAGTTCACGGAAAAACCGTGAAAAACTTATCCAAGGTAAAAAAAAAATATATCTTCATTTCGGCATATGATTTCGATGGTATGAGTGAAGTATTTAGGAAATATATGACACAAAGTGAAATAATATTTTCAAAAATATCATAACGTAGATACAATACAATTCAAGAAAAACGTACAGTTGTGTACTTCCGGTCCATCGGATTTAGATTTTCTTTATCATTCTCCCGTCCAGATCGTTGTATAGACAATGCATGGGTTCCCCAATGTTGGTCACGTTTTCGAGTGTTAGCGGTACTCCATTCTTGGCAATCTCGTTTACTATTTCCCCGGTGAAGTTGCTTACTTCTGACAACATTTTCCACTGCTGTCCTGCTCCTCTAGAAACTTCTGACCGATGTGCGATACGAGGTTACTGCCTTGATTGCCGCTTGGCGGTTTACGTAGATGTTGACTATGGAATTGATATCAATGGCAAAGACCTTAGCTTGAAATATACTGCAGTCCGGTAACACAAAAGGCTGCCTTAGGCCTAACTCTGGACGGTATATCCCCGCGCCAACTCCATCCTCTATTCTAGAGCCATCCGTATAATTGTTTAGAGTGTTGCGCTTAGCTGACATATCTTTACGCCAATCATCTTTTTATACCCTGAACAGGGTATATTAAGTTTGTCACGAAGTTTGCAACACCCAGAAGGAAGCGTCGGAGACCCTATAAAGTATATACGTATATAATTAATCAGTATGTTGAGCTGAGTTGAATTAGCCATATCCGTCTGTCTGTATATACACGAACTAATCCCTCAGATTTTAAGATATCATTTTGAAATTTTGCAAACGTTATCTCTTCAATAAACTGCTCATTTGTCGGAACTGTCGATATCAGACCACTGTACAGACTGAACGATTGGAATCAAGTTCTTGTATGGAAAACTTTTGCATTTGACAAGATATTTTCACGAAATTTCGTATAGATTATTTTCTAAGTACAATGTACAATGTAATATCTGTAAAAATTGTTCAGATCGGATTACTATAGTATATACATATATACAAACTGAACACATAGTTACTAAAAGAAATGTACTTGTGAAGGGTATATTAGCTTCTATGTTTACTTTAAACCTTCTTTCCCACTTGAAAAGTGGGGTCCTGTAGTCGATGTTTGTCAGACCGCCATTATCTACCGAGCTATGTTTGAAGGTTTGAACCAGATCAAGAGACACCGTTGGAAAAGCTCCCATAATGCACAGCGCAGCGAGCACCTTACTATTGGCTTCCAGTAGATGGATTTCCGTATACCATAGAGCAGAATTGGTCTTACACCACCACCAGTGCATGAGAGAGGGAGAGAGCCCCCAGGTTGTGCCAAGAATTTGCCTACACGGGTATAAAGCATTGCTGGCCTTTCTCACTCTTTCTTCCGTATATCGAAGGGAACCTCCATAAGGGAATTTTGTGTTTTCTTGTGAAGGCAAGCATATCCGTTTTCTTCGCGCTCAATTCCAGACCCGCTTCCGATGTCCAATTCTGGACAGTATTGAGAGTGGTGGTCTTAATACTGTTAATGGTCTGTAGACCGTTATTAAGATGGCAAAGTCGTCTGTATATGCCATTATCTTAGGGAATTCGCAGTCCAGGTTCCTTAGCACTTTATTCACCATTATTGTTCTTCTTTACTGGCGTAGAAACCGCTTACGCGGCTATAGACGAGTTAATAACAGCCAGATGGCGCCAATTGGAGATTCCAAGTGAAGCCAGGTCCTTCTCCACAGGTCCTTTCAACCGAGTGGAAGTCTTCTTCTGTTTCCCCCGGCGGTTTCAGAGTTGGAGTATTTTCGCCCATTCGTACAACATGACCTAGCAATGTCCGCTGTCTTTTAATTCGCTGAACTATGTTAATGTCGTCGTATATCTCATACAGCTCATCGTTCCATCGAATGCGATATTCGCCGTGGCAAACGTGCGAAGGACCATAAATCTTTCGAAAAACTTTTCTCACGAAAACTCGTAACGTCGACTCATCAGATGTTGTCACCATACAGCAGAACGGGAATAATGAGTGACTTATAGAGTTTTTTTTTGGTTCTTCGACTTTACATCTCAATTGCCTACTTAGTTCGAATCTTTATTTCGTTTGCCATGGTCGTCATCAAAAGCGGGGTCTCTCATCCGAGGCTGTGAATGGCGATCAGAGAACTTTCTGTGTGAACTTCTACACATGAATCCATCCTCCACCATTCACTATTTTTGTCATTCTGCTCTCATCCTTTTAGAGGTCAAAAGACTTCGATGCAGCGTTCTACTATATATCAGAATTAACACCTATTGATTGAATACTATTCGCAATATGTTCAGTAGAGAGGTTGTTGAACACACCAGAAATGTCCAGGAATACTACATGAGCGTATTCCTTACCAGTGTATTATATACCAGTGTTTGGAGTGCAATCTCTACTGATGTGCCTTTGGTATTGCGAGTAAGTTCGGTTGTTTCTACTTGCCTTCTCCATGAGTCTGGCACATAGCTAAAAGGTGAATTTAGCTACGGTACGGATATACAATTTTTTCCTGATTCTCGCTTTGCCCTGCGCCCAACTTCTTGTAGTCTCTTAGAAGATCTTTATATTTGTTCCAACAGCCCCCACTTTCTGCTAACTTGGCCTAGTTGAGGCATTTCCGTAATTTGCTTCTGCAAGACTCAAACTCCTTGTTCCATCAAGGAGTCTTCGTTTTCTGCTTGAGTCACAGGGTAGGCCACGCGTAGGGAAGAGCCGTATTTAGGGCATTCGTGATTGTAGTCAAGTCCTTATCAAGGTCTAAATCTCTTGCCTAATAGTATATGCCTGTAGAGATACTATAGTTTGTATTCCTGGCATTTTTCCTAACCTTATTTCTGATCTTTGCTTTCGATCTAATGGAGAAGCAGATGTACATACGGTCAGAGTCGTTAATATTCTACTTATAATCAGAGAACGGCGTGAAATTAGCGCTCTCTATTTTTCTACCAATGTATGTATCCTTACTTGTGTACAATGTTATGCCTAGAACGTTTCTAGAGGTAGGTCCTATATGGGTAGGTTCTCACCTCCACTAGTTACCACTAGACTACTTTGTAAAATATAATCGAGTAGAGACTCATCTCGCTGGTTGATGTCAGGGCTGTCCCAAATCATACGATGGACTAGTGCTAACGTCCCACCACCCCCAGCCTTTTGAGCTCTGCCATTGACACCTCGCAATCATGTGGCTTATAGCAGGATGCAAGGAGTTAGACGACTCATCCTTGGCATCTTTCACTGCCACAAATCATCTGTGGAAAGACTGAAGTCAATATGGGAGCATATATAGATTTTTATTTACCAATATCCCTGTTCTTACCTCGTTAATTACACTCGGGATGTATAATGCGTAGTTTTGTGGCTTTAATCCACTGACCACTTTAAGCGATGCAAACCATGGGTTCTTTTTCCACATCCACCTCCTGCAGGACAAGTGAAGTCGCCATGATCTCATCTATGTCGAGATCCTTTTCCACTTTACCCTTATCCAACGTGTTTTTGTTGCCGCTTGCCGATTCTTGACTCGAAGAAACACGCTTCCAACGCCCCACGCCATCTTCCCTATCCTCTGCTGCCTTATTGATCTGGTGGATGTAGCTTTGGTTTCCATCTTCGTTGACCGATTTAAAACACTTCACTTGCTAGCCAACACCTCGTGATTCTGTCGTTTTAGTAGCCGCACAGATGAAATATTGCTGCGGTTCACCGCATCTGGTATAAGTCATCCTGCTCCATGAAATGACAACTTGGGTGTGCTTGGTTCTTCGTCCATTCTTCTTTTCTGCATTTATATTTGAAACGCTTTAGTGATCCTAGAGTCTTCATGGACTGTGACACCCTTACGAGAGAGAGCTGGTTTGGCAGTAGTGGAACAACCACCGCAACCTGCACCCGTTACAGTGGTAGTGAGGCCGCTGCCGATACAGCTTATAGGATCACTGTGTCCACGGGTGGTTTGGATTGATATCCCAGTCCGCTTCGTTCCTGTGTTGACTTCCATATTGTGTTTTATGATTCGGAGGTCTCTACCCCTAGCGTTTTATACCGACAGCCAAGTACCTCTTTAGCGATAGCCTCTGTAAAGAGTGTAAAAAATTGTTCGAAATTACAGCGATAGATTTGATACAAAATAAAAAATAATTTAATAGGAGCAAAGAATAAAGTGGTAAATAAATTAAACCAAAAAAGAAGTTATGAAGAAAAGAGAAGAGAAAGATTTAAAAAACAATATTAGGCGTGTTTTATTTGACCAGCAAATGAAGGTATTCGCTCATTTTATATGGAAGACATAAGCTATCATAGCTTTAATATTGATCTAGAGGCATTGTCAATTCATTGCTTTTTTTCATTCACCATAGCAATGTTTTTCCACACAAAAAAAGTAGTCGGCAAAGCGAGAAACCTCCTTTTGACAGATGAAAATGTAAACAAATCAAAATTACATATTTTATTGAATGTCAATACTCATTCATCATCATGTATTCTAGACCTCAAATAACTAAAATAAATATATTTGTATAGTATATTAATATTCCGTTCACAAATTGAAAACTTCACACTAAATTTTATATCAGCTGATTGTTTTTGTCCGCATTACCAACCTAATTCATTTTTATGCGAATGTATATGTATGTGTAAGTGCGTTTTATTTGTCTATGATTTAGCTATTACCTTGTGATTGTCAAATAAAACATGGCTAGTGATGACAATGCTATGGATATTGACATTTACTCAACTGGTTGACGGAGGTACGACAATAAAAGAAATAACCGATCAAACAGAATTTATTTACGTACAGATAAATAATCAAGAAATAGTTCGATAAACTGATACAATTATTCATATTAGTTTTGCCAATGTGTTACAAGTGCATAAGAGATGCTCCATTGTTTTCTTGGTGCCTTACTGCAGACATTTCCTGCAGTCTTCTTGATCTGATTGCCCATTCTGATGGCGTGTGTCGCTACCATACAGTGAACACTTCAAATGAATATAAAACATAAAGATATACTCCCACTAGAATTGTAAGAAGCTATAAATAAATTGTTAACACCCATTCCAATTGGAAACAGGCAGAAGCGTAGATTAATCAGGTAGCATGTCAAAATGGCTTTTTGGCAAAGTAGACGAAGAAGACCGGACAAAACATACATACATACATCCAATGGAAAATAAAGAATATAATGAAATAGAGTAAAAAGTAGAGAAAATTTTCAGCTACGCAAATAAAGCATATAAATTCGCTATTAATAAACATTGATGAGAATTAAAAATTTGTGTATGTTGTGTAATTAAACTAAATTGCAAACTCATAAAAACCAAAAAAATGGAAAGAATACCAATAGACATGAAAACAATCGTAATAAAAATGCATTTAATCTAGACATTAATAAATACATATACATGTAAATAAGACCTACTTTAAATGGTAAAAATGATTTGATAAAATATAATAATTTTTCAATTAAAATATAAGTTCAACATCATGGAAAATATAAAAGATAATATTGTATTATTATTATAAAAGACGAAAATATTCAAAATTTCACATAAAACATCACATTCGATCAAATAATAGAAGAAAATAAGTCAAATCAAAAAAATATTTTCACATTAAAAATTACAGTAAATTGTCTCATTGCATTGTTGCAATATTCTATGTATATTTAAAATTATAATAATCTCCACAATACTGCTCAATAAAAACAAAACAAATTCTTATTAAATAAAATAAAATAACTCAGAAGAGTTATATATGTACGCTAAAACATCCGATGGTGCAATTGGCAAGTTTGATGAACTGTTGAAGCGAATTGCAACATATTAACACCACTTCCGGCCTACATAAAGTGCAGAAATATAAGAATCAGGAAATAGTCCAAATTGCTTATAACTTTAGTAAAAATATAGATATCTTCATGAAACTTGGTACTCATAATAGTATATTTTTCCGCTTAAAGTAGATACAATTGGACGAAAACTTGAACTAGCCCCCATATAACTATTTCCAGGATTTTCGAACATCCGGCTGACTTTGCTCCATATGATTGGTTATTGTATGTGAGGTACTTTAATGAAACCTAGGGAACATTTTTTTAGTATGTGGCATGATAATAGTTGAAAGATAAAATCTGGCCGATACTACCCCAACTGCATACTACTTATAACGGTTATCGTTTTTCTAACAAATCTTATGACGGATTTATCTGTGAGTGTATAAGTTAATATATTATACTTGTACGTATATATAAAAATACTTGGATTCCAATCCTCTGCTAGCAAGCTGATGGAGTATGAAATGTTCGGCTGCACCCAAACTTCGTCCTTTGTTACTTGTTTTTTAAACCCGCGAAACATGTAATTCGCGCGTCCCGAAAAAGAAATATGTTCAGTTTTGTTAGATTCGGCCCATTTTGAAACAACTATATAGTCTACTGCTGTTTACTTTCGCATATGCGTAAATCCACGATTCTTCATATTATATTTCACGATTTCATATATTTCTATCACTGTTATCGTATTTTTTTATCATTTATCCGTACCAACTCTACCAATCGACACGAGCCCTTTTTTGAGCTAATAACAAATTGTCTATTAAAATGTTATTAAAAATGTCTTAAATAATTATGTGACAGTGCACACCAATGACGCTTCCTTGTCTGCGTTGGTTCAACTTTCTTCGTTCTAGCTGTTCTCACAGAAAATGTGTTGTGTAAATACGAATAGATAAAGGAGCATTTAATAAACATATGAGAATAAAATTTAATATTCATGATCTCCGGAATTCAAACGTAAATACTTGTTGCTTGTACTACTTATTCACTGTTACGACCTGAGCCATCTCAAAAGTGGAGCACGACTGCTTTAATTATTTAATTCCGCGGGTTTTACCAATACTCCTCTTATTTAATTCCAGCGATCAATTGTTAATATAAATTATGAATTTTATTTTATCATATCATACAAATTGAAAACACAAATCTAAACAGCCATGTGTATCCATAATTTATTTAATACCATTCGTTGTGTTTATTTATACTTGTAGCCTTCTCCTCGTTTCGTTCATTGCGTGGGGTGTTTTTTCTTCTCGATTATATTTATCTATGTCCCGTTATACGATAACTAAAAATTAGTACCAAAGAAGTTTTGATTTAACATTTGCGCCTTCTCTATTTACTAACATTCTGTGCCTACACAGAGCTAGGTTGGTATTTATACGCTGAACAGTTTGCCACGAAGTTTGTAACACCCAGAAGGAAGCGACGGAGACCTTTATAGGGTATATATATAAAAAGTGGTCAGTATGTTGATTTTGCCATGTCCGTCTGTCCGTTCGTCTGTCTGAATATATACGAACAAGTTCCTCAGTTTTTAAGATATGGTTTTGAAATTTTGCCAAGATCATTTTCTCTTCGGAATCAAATTCTTGTATGGAAAACTTTTGCATTTGACGTGGTATCTTCACGAAATTTGACATAAATCAGTGATTCAAAGTAATAACATAAAGGAGATCGGATTACTACAGCATATAGCTTCTATACACACTGAACAGATAGGTACTAAAGAAATGCACTTGTGAAGGGTATATTAGCTTCGGTGCAACCGAAGTTAACGTTTTTTCTTGTTTTGATTTGTTTTTTTCCGTCATTTGTCGATTAATAGCCCTGTATTCGAGAATTTAAAACAAATACTTTTTTTATACTCCCGTAACAGGTTGTACAAGTTGTTTTTCACTTAACGGTTAGTATCATCTATAACTTATTGATACATATTATTATTATTATTTTATTAGGAAAAATATACAAGATATTAAACCTAATAGTAAGAAAGGAGTACAAGCTACTATGGCCATCGCTTAAGTTCGGTTGCAACCAAACAATTTATACTCTTTCAACAAGCCGGATGTTCGAAAATCTTTGCATTAGTTATATAGGGCCTAGGCCAAGTTTTCGCACAAAATTATTTACTTTAGGCAGAAAGATACACTGTTATAAATGAAACACGCTTTCGTATTATTGGTCCAATTCATCGCGATAAATCAATAACTAAATGCGACAGATACATTAAACTTTACCACCGAGATGGCATCGGAGAGTTTTAATGAGAGCCGGTGTGAGAATTGAACGATGAGTGTGGCATCGCCCACCTTTGGTGAATCACCATATCTCAGTACCTGTTAAACCGATTTCGACAAAACTTGGTGCCCAGAATGTTTTTGATATTTTTATGTTGTAGAAATGGACGAAATCGGAAAACAACAAGGCCTACTTCTTATATAACATAATTTTAGATTCCAATTGATTCGTGCAGTTTTCAGTACGCAATTCAAGAATCGTCTTTAGTGTGTGTGCCACCTTACGACTAAAAATTGTTTGAATTCAATAAAAACTGTTCAAGCCCCTAGGTACCGAGTGTTTCGACCCCGGTACTTATAGATGACTTTTGATCGAAAATGTCAGTCAATGTGTGATATATGTACATAACTGAAATTAAAGAATAATTCCTCTGTTATAACGGTATGCATTTATAGTAGTCTTTAACAGTACCATTATATGGGAAATGAGAGGGGTTATCCTCGATTTGAGCCATTTTCGCACTGTCGGTAGAAGTTCTTATAAGATATAGACTTAGCTGATTTGGTTATTGTAACTTAAGTACTTTCGGAGATGTGTACATTAAACTAGAAAGAGGGTGGGCCACGCCCACTTAAAAAAAATGTTACACAGGTGCCTCTTGCTACTATGAACCCCTTTACCAAATTACAGCTTTATTTTAATTAGGTGCTTAGTTATGGCACTTTATAGGTTTTCGGTTAATGGCGATTTGTGGGCGCAGTAGTGGTGCGATTACGCCCATCTACAAACTCGAACTTTCTTTGTAGTAAGAAACCTGCGTACCAAGTTTCATCAGTATATCTCAATTTTTACTCAAGTTACAGCTTACATGGATGGATGGACGGACGGACAGATGGACAGTCAACCCGATTTCAATTTTTCTCCGTATCCTGATCTTTTATATATATCGTTGTCAAAAAAGTCTTGGGGTATTTTCGCTAGTTGGCGCTGAGAGCGCATAG